ACACATACACACACGTACACATACACACACGTACACATACACACACGCGTACACACACACATACACACATACACACACATGTACACATACACACACATACACACACATGTACACACACACGTACACACACACACATACACACACACACACACACACACTGCTTTGGCTGATGGTTCTAATTTTGGAACTTTGGTTTGGAGTCCCAGGGGGTTACAGAAGCCCTGGGTGCTCATGCTAAGGGTGGTCTGGCCTGTTTTTTTGGAGAGCAGCCTTGGAGTGGCAATTTTTTCCCAGTTTGTGTCTTGGTTGGCTCTTGACTCAGAAGCTCTTTAAACCAGCACGGTCTAATAGTATAGGGGCTTGGCTGCATTCAACCCCTGAGAATCCTAGGATGAAGCATCTACTCAGGCTCCTGGTCTTAACCTGGCCTTGACCCAGAGGTTCAAATAGATTCCTCAGAGAGTAGGAACCTGCGTCTTGCACCCCCCTGCAACTTTCCCTCTGATACTAGCTGGGCTCCCTCATCCCTCTGGGAACAGATTCTGCTTCCAGCCAAGACAGAATATGTGAGATGGGCCTTGTCCCCTCAGAAATGAAGAAGCAGCAACTGAAAACCAGAGAAAGACATGAGAGCTACTGGAAGTCAGACAAAGAAGGGTAGGGAGCCCCATGGGGGAAAACAATCAGGGTGAGCCTCGCGGCTGCAGCGTTGAGAATGGAACCCTGGCAAGTTTGGGAGTCTCCTGAGGGGAGGAGATGGAGCTGAGAGCCTGAGAAGGGTAAGGAGTGAACCCCACAACTGAGTTTGGTGGTGCACGCCTTTAATCCCAGTACAAGGGAAGCAGAAGCAGGAGGATCTCTGCATTTGAAGCCAGCGTAGTCTACAAAGAGTTCCAGGACAGCCAGGGCTACACGGAGAAACCCTGTCTGAAAAACTAAAAAGAAAAAATAAGCTTCAGAGTCAGTCCATTAAGCCAAGGTCAGTATGTGCAGGGCAAGACAGAGCCACCAATATGCAGGGTGGAGACACCCAGCTGGAGGCCTCGAAATACACAGGGTACTGGCAGAGTTCCCTTAGTAGTTCAGAATAATTAACCTGAACTTAAACCACATCCAAGACGCCCTGAAAGCAAAACTCAGATGGAAGGCACCATCTCTAAGCAAGTAACCATCAAGAACATTCCAATGGACACAACATGAAGACTTCAACAGGGCATAATTCATAGTGTCTGGAGTCTGAGGAAAGATCGGGAAGAGCTGAGGGTGCAGCTCAGCAAGGAGCGTTAGCACTCTGGAGGCTCTCTGCTCTGCCCCCACACTGTCAGCAGGCAAGCAAAGGGTATGGGGAATACAGCCCATAATGAGGAAAACGGTCAGCTGGGTTTTGGTATTGAATGCTGTTAATGCCAGCACTTGGGAGGCAGACGTAGGTGGATCTCTGTGTTTGAGGCCAGTCTGGTCTACAGTGCAAGTTCCAGGACAGCCAGGGCTACACAGAGAAACCCTGTCTCAGAAAAAAGAGAGCAAGAGAGAGAAGAAACTTCAAATTCAATCAAAACCAAAGAAATGATGTGGGAAGTGGGAAGAGGAGCGCCACTGACATGAGTGTGGGGACGCTGTGACCGGACCACGCTCTCTAGAAAAGGTAAAAGGGCGGGTGGAGTCCTGGGAGGTGTTAAGACGCCAAGTCAAATTTGCAGGGACCAGTGGGGCTCAGTTCAGTCAAGAACGCAGACCCAGTATGTGTGAGGCCCTGGATACCACACTCATCTCTAGGATAATCCAGAAGCTGGCAGGGATAAAGCTGACCCATCCAAAGCGAAAACCTTCCAGAGGAGCTGAAGAACCTTGAGAAAGAGAAGCTGTGCCCACCTGGAGATGGCCTTCCGATCATCCTGAGAGTCAAGAGAGATGAGAATACACAGGGAGCTCGACCCCAAAGGAGGAGAGAGCGAGCGGGAGCAGGACATGATGGCCAAGCTTGTTGTGTTGTGCGACAGTGGGGCGCACGCTTTCATCCCAGCACTCAGGAGGCCCAGGCAGGAGGATCTCTGTGAGTTTAAGGCCAGCCTGGTCTACACAGCCAGTTCCAGGACAGCTAGGGCTGCTACACAGAGAAACCCTGTCTCAGACAGCAAACAAAAAGTTATCATTACTACTATTATTATTATTGTGTGGTGTAGTGTGAGAGTGTGGGGGTCAAAGGACAAGCCGTGGATGTCAGTCAGTTCCCGTTCCATCATGGGATCCTTGTCAGTCAGGCTGTGCAGGATCAAATGCTTTCGCCCACTGCCAGCCTTGTCTGTTGTAGACAGGGTTTCGATTGCCCAGGCTGGCTTGAACTCCTAATTCTCTTGCTTTAACACCCGATTCTGATTCTGCGTTTACCCTCTCGGTACAGTTCG